TATACATTGCTTGAGATTTTCCTCAATTTTGAGATGTTTTATACAGGTGGCCCCTGTGGATCCTTTGTCCGATGTTAAGTGGTAGGTAAACTTAACGTTTTAATAGTAACATGTATATTAGGATAGTTAATGGGGAATTGTATATTTTTAGTATCATGATGAGCATGTAGAACTTGAAAGGCCCATAAATATATTATACGATAAATTCAATCATTATATAAATCACTGAACCAAATATTACATTTACAACCATATTTCCATTAGCAAAAATGACACGTTTATATTTTATTGGTTTTCCCTTCTCAATCACCTGTCATTAATAAATAACTTGTTAAATACCTTGGTATGAAATACATTGCTAGTTTACACTAGACCATACGCAATAATGTGTTCACAGTACGTGTGGGGTAGAGAAAATTACTAAGTTTAATGTATCAAACAAGAAATTGTGTTTCAGTTACATAGACATGGCTAATAAGAGCACCACAAATGGATACAAAATACGTCCGTTGATAAACAAAGACCAATAATTCAACATTCGCTAAATCGTAGATCCGAACAGGATCACACAGTCATGCAACGTCAATATGGCCTACCAAGTTTTAAGAAATTCTGACAAAAAATGAAGAAGGAGATCTCAAGACAGGTTTAAATGCTGAAACACGGAGGACAAAACTTAAAAAACCCACCAAGGCGCCAAGGGAAATAGGCCATGTCTAAAGGAACCAGAATCATGCTAAATTCCACAACCACATGCTAGTACTCTAACTACCAACCCAAGTCTCACGAACCTCCAAGTGATTTATATTTATGTGTTCTTAGCAAATATTTAAGACACCATAGCAAAACTAGGTGCTTTTGAAACCTTTTCCATCTGAACGTTCTTAAAGTTCTAACAAAACTTTTAACGAACCATTGGAATATTGTCAGTGTCGTTGGTATTTAAGTCTGGGGTGATAACAACGTCGTGGGGTAAGCTCAGTCCAAACTCCACCCTTTTCTCTCCTGATTGCCTTGGTTATTACCTAGTGAATTGTGGAAAATGCTGAGGGATTTAGTCTGCACGGGTGTTTAAGTTTTCGGATTATATGTAGCATACGACTGATGAAAGCCTTAGCTACTTGGACAGCAAAGTGAAGACAAAAGCAAGACTAGAGTAAATTTAGCAACTCGTTTTTAACGAGAGTAAACTACATAAAGATATTTTTATGATTGTATATTAAAACGATTAAACAAGTTAACAGAACAATGATCTAACAAAGTTAAATATAGCACGATCATAGTACAGTCAAATGAAGCGAAATCATTGTCAACTTTTAAGAAAAACGTTGACACTTATATACGTCTTTTTAAGTTTACAATATTCACTTTTTTAACATGTTATTATAACAGTTATTGCACGGTACGTGACTTCCTTTATTCGAGCTTATTCACTTTTAGTTTAAACATGAGTCACGTGTTCATTTTAAAGAGTTTTTCACATTTTAACATTTAGTTTGGTCAGATCAGCAACATCGTACAATAACACTTGTACATTGCCGTGAGCGAAACAATTTCAAGTGACTTGATGGGCATCTTCACCGGTGAAGAACGTCATCCAGTCGTGAACACAACGTCATGTGACAATACGTCACGAATGTTGGTACTGTGGCAGGCATAGGTTATAAAATGAGTCTTTCATGAAGGTTTCCAGAGGGCGCCATGACACCATGCCGCGGTCATACAGGTCGGTCAGGGACGTGACCTTGCCGTAATGGTGGGGGTCCTGAAACAGAAAATCACGTGTGTCAATGTCCTGGGATTATGTTACGGTAGATCACGGCTTGGTCAATAGAAAGAAGGATCTAGAGAATGATGTTAAGCATTGCATGCACGTTTTTGATTAATCATTAGGAAATACCTTGATTAAATACAATAAAATAACAATAAACATGGAATCGGAAATGCAATTGAGTCGGCATGGACTGTTAGCCAGATAACGTTATATGCACGCATACAAATGAAACAGCGTCTGGTATCAGAGAATAGTATTGTTAAGGCTATGTTCTGTTTTGGGTATGGTGTAACAGCTGCTGAGTATGACTGAATTCACACACATTCATGTTAACTCCTTTGTTCTGATTTCTTTTATTTCAATTTTGAATTTTACCCCTTAATCATTCAACCGGAATTATTCTCGACATTTTAATGGGAAACAGTACATGTATCAATTTAAATAGTTAGCTTCCACGAGAAGTGGTGAAGTGTTTAGTTTAAATTGCTGCCTACCAGGATTAGTAGCGATGGCGGGTCACAGCATACACCCAGGATACCTTTAGACGCGTTGTCGCCGTCTCCGCCTGTTGGTATAAAGGTTGGGTCAAATCGTAAAACACTTCTCGGCAATTTCATAAATTATCTGCTATAAATCCCGTCAATAATTGGCATGCATTGACGTCGCTGTCAGTACCACCAAAGTAGAAAGCAATATCTAGACAATGCTAGGATAAGGTGACAACGGTATGTCTGCCTGACAATATCCTCATGTCCTATATAGCATCTCAATTCCACACAAAAGACAGTAATCAATCACCAAACCTGTGTCGGCATCCATCCATCACAGATATCCAAATAGTTTTATCAAAAGAAATCTGTCTAACCGAATATGTGACTACGTTTATTTCGATTACTGGTCAAGCATGTTATCCTTTATCAATACTTGTCCATCCAACGAACCCCCGTTGTGTTTCCCAATACAATTTGATTTGGTCAATCTTAAACTTATTGTGTAACCACATGTATTTAAGTACCGGATAAATTGTCTTAATACAAAAATCCGGACCAACAGCATATATTTATATACAATTGACATCTGAGAATGTAAACACATGGTTTGTAAGTTAACCTGGGCCGCTTTCGTTTATTGCTATTCAAACGGTTAGTTACTGACCACGGCTAGACAGGTAAACGCACAGCGAATATTGTATGTACTGACCACGGCTAGACAGGTAAACATACAGTGAATATTGTATATACTGACCACTGCTAGACAGGTACACATACAGCGAATATTTTATGTGCTGACCAGGCTAGACAGGTACACATACAACGAATATTGTTAGTACTGACCACGGCTAGACAGGTAAACATACAGCGAATATTGTATGCCCTCACCACGGCTAGACAGGTAAACATACAGTGAATATTGTATATACTGACCACTGCTAGACAGGTAAACATACAGCGAATATTGTATGCCCTCACCACGGCTAGACAGGTAAACATACAGCGAATCTTGTATGTACTGACCACGGCTAGACAGGTAAACATACAGCGAATATTTATGTACTGACCACGGCTAGACAGGTCAACATACAGCGAATATTGTATGTACTGACAACGGCTAGACGGGTAAACATATAGCGAATATTGTATGTACTGACCACGGCTAGACAGGTAAACATATAGCGAATAGTATATGTACTGACCACGGCTAGACATGTAAACATACAGCGAATATTGTCAGTACTGACCACGGCTAGACAGGTAAACATACAGCGAATATTGTATGTACTGACCACGACTAGACAGGTAAACATACAGCGAATATTGTATGTACTGATCACGGGTAGACAGATAAACATATAGGGAATATTGTATGTACTGACCACGGCTAGACAGGTAAACATACGGCGAATATTGTATGTACTGACCACGGCTAGAGAGGTAAACATACAGAGAATAGTGTATGTACTGACCACGGCTAAACATGTAAACATACAGCGTATATTGTATGTACTGACCACGGCTAGACAGGTACACATACAACGAATATTGTCAGTACTGACCACGGCTAGACAGGTAAACATACAGCGAATATTGTATGTACTGACCACGGCTAGACAGGTAAACATACAGCGTATATTGTATGTACTGACCACGGCTAGAGAGGTAAACAAACAGCGAAGATTGTATANCACGGCTAGACAGGTACACAAACAGCGAATATTGTACATGTATGTACTGACCACGGCTAGACAGGTTAATATATAGGGAATATTGTATGTACTGACCACGGCTAGACAGGTTAATATATAGGGAATATTGTAAGTACTGACCACCGCTAGACAGGTAACCATACAGCGAATGTTGTATGTACTGACCACCGCTAGACAGGTTAATATATAGGCAATATTGTATGGACTGACCACCGCTAGACAGGTTAATATATAGGGAATATTGTATGTACTGACCACGGCTAGACAGGTACACAAACAGCGAATATTGTACATGTATGTACTGACCACGGCTAGACAGGTTAATATATAGGGAATATACTCTAAAACTGTTAAGAATGAATATTAAGCTATAGTGTACAATAAACAGTATACTTTGTTTTGTTCGATCTAGCTGATGGTTATCATAGTAGCACATTTAGACCAGTTTCAGTTACCGTTATAGATTCGCGATGAAAGGAAATGACCGTCCTTCCGTGCCTACTACGTTACACTATATAGACATGGCAAATTCCGTTAAAACGTTGGCAATGGAACTTCTGACGGCGTTTAACATTCGTAAACAAAACGTTCATTAGATTGTACATGGTCGTGTATTCAGTATTAACGCTGGGTTAAGGAATAACATATTGTATGTCCCCGGATAACACTCAAACCCCTGGAGAATATAGCACTGTTCTTCCTATTTCAGCCGTAAACGTATGACCTTATTCCGAACTAGCGGAAGTGGAGCTAACGGAACCATAGTTCCGTGACAGAAACAATACTGAACACACATGTACACGATGCATTGGTAAGATATTGTGTGTTTTTACTTTTAATAAATATCGAATTTTGATTTGACTTCCTAGTGTCAGTTTTCAGTATGAGGTTATGCTGTACAAGAAAATATTAACATAAAGTATATGAATCACTTCATTTATTTATCCTTACCCATCATTACTGGAGCTCCAACAATCACGAAATGCTTCTTCAATGCCTCTATATGGTCATATAGCAACGCACCGGAAGTGACGTGTATTATCTTACAGGGCACCTGCACACAATAAATTGTTCCATTCATTTGAGTATATCAACAGAATGCTTTCAGAAGAAAAACAAGCATAGTAAAACATTCATTGGCTCTAAAGGAAAGTATGGTTTCACAAATTTGTACGATCATTTCGAATCTCTTCAAGATCGCGCCTAGCTCTATATAACAATCAAATCCAGCTGAGAATGTACGTACACTGAGCTGACCTGGCATTGCTAACTGTCACCTCTTGATGAACGTCCTACTTACCTCCAATAAATAATCCATACATATAGAGACTTCAAAGCTGCCTATCCATTCTCTAGAACCAACAAAAGACGCCGCTTTGTCTCCCATAGCAACCAGAGCTTCCTGTATGGTCTTTAGAGATGGTACTACTGATATTTTATCGTCAGTGCGTGTTCGCTGGTGAATTACCCAAGCACACATCGTCTGCAGAGTTCTGTATCCGCATCCCCAGCCCTGAGGTCAGAATTAGAATTAAATGTGGTTTTAAAACAGTCAGCGACAGCATCAGGTGAAAAGTAAAATATCAAATCAGTAATGTTTAAATGTCTTAGATAGCATTTTAAACCTCTGAGGCTCCTTATTGAAAAAGATAGGGATATATGCTGATTTCGTTACTTTTTCTTTGCAATATACACTGTAAGTTACGTATTGTTTTTTTCAATTTTTAAGTAATCGCATAAATATCGAGAAACGAGATTTCTTGCCTGTGTGTATTCTTGATCTTCTAAAAGAAGAATTTAGAATTGCCCTGACGCTGTCACTGGACATATGGGTTTGTAATAGTTTCATAGCTTCTAAAATAACAATGTAGAATAGCTCTGACCCTGTCGCTATAGCGAAATGGGTCTGTAAAAGTTCTATAGCTTCAAAAATATCAATGTATGTTTGCTCTGAAACTGATACTGGCAATATGGGTTCGGAAAAGTTCTATAGTTTCTAAACCAAGAACTAAGCATTGCCCTTACACTGTTATACTCTGCTCGTCTGACCATGCTTCATAACATTGTAAACCAGAAAGTCGCTATCGTAAAATCAGACAGATTAATCCCTACAGTTAGAAAATCCCGAACGAACCACCAGTTTTCGTATCAAATTCCCCACTCAAAAACCCAGACCAGAAAGGCATCATTCTTCCCTCGAACTATACCCGAGTGGAATTAACTCCCATCTGACATTATTTCGAGCCCCACAACGGAATTATTCAAATCAGCCCTCTACCGTCACTTTTCAAACGCAAATTAGACCATCTCGTATCTTTTAAAAACAATCTCTTTCCATGTTTCACTCCTCGTCTGACATTTTATCTTCAAATTGTTGAAGTTGGTCAGTACCATTTAGAAGTAGAAGTAGAAACCGACCCCCCTGCTAACATGCTAGCTATGTCATCAATATATGGAGCACCTACAGCAAAATATTTATGTAAATCATCTTAACACAAAAAATCATTGATCAACAGATGTATCTTATATTTCTTAAAAACATATTTCAGAAAAAAGTTGGAACTACATACTGATGTAAGATAAGGGAATATAATTATGTTTGGTGATTGTATAGCATCGTCAAGGTGTAAACCGACAGCAAAAACACTATCAATACAACAGACCCCATCCTGCTGACATGGACCAAGCGTCTATATATATTCTATAAGTATTACCTTGAAAGGGTTTACCAATAATTAGCCCCCATTGCTACATTACAGTGTTCTCACGGCTACTTCAACCGGGAAGTTACTACGATTTGTACATATTCTCCCTCTGGTGGAGATCCCCGACCTAGGCAGCCATCCCACCCCGACCAAGGAACTATTTTGTCAATGTTACACCAGAAAAGGTTTGGATACTTTAATCCGTGGTAAGAGAAAGAGATCTCACGTTGGCGTCTCACAGGACACTTATATATATTACTCACATTTTGCTAAGGATCGCTTTTATTTTTGGGCATGTGTGAAAATAAATATTATATTTGGTTTATACTGAGATTATATTTGAAAAATTGATTGTTCTTTTAATTCATCAGCATGCAAAATTACTTAAATTGAACAAAACTCATCTTAAATGAGCATCAATTACAGCTTCACAACGTCTGCGCAAGCCCCGAATGAGATCGCGTATCCGGTTTTGTGGGATAGCGTTCCACTCAGCTACCAAAGCTGTTCCAAGCTCCTGGAGTGTTCTTGGCTGAACATTTCTGGCAGAGAGAGCTGTCTGCAGCATGTCCCACACATGCTCGATGGGATTTAGATCCGGCGAGCGGGCTGGCCAATCCATTCGTTGAATAGTAGCTTGCTGTAGTTACTGCTCAGTCACCCTTGCTCTATGTGGCCTAGCATTATCGTCCATAAGGATGAAGTCAGGGCCAATAGCGCCAGCGTATGGTCTGACATAGGCATCAAGGGTTTCATCACAGTAAATCCGGGCCGTACCGGTACCATTATGGAAGACATGAAGGTCAGTTTTCCCACGAATGCCCTGTACTATCACTGAACCTCCGCCATATCGGTCATGTTCCACAACGTTTGTTTGTCTCCATACTCTAACGCGCCTGTCGGTGAAGTCGATACGAATCTGGACTCGTCAGTAGAGTCAAAGTGCTGTGAGCTTGGGCCCAACCTAATCGGTTCCTTACATGGCGGGCAGTTAAGGAACTCGTATTGTTGGTCTACGTGACCCTAAACCAGCATCATCAACACGGATCCTAACTGTCTGAGCGGCTACTCGGGTACCAAAAGCATTTAGGTCATTTCGTAAAGCTGTGACAGTCTGGAACATGTGACGCCGTGCCTGTATGAGCAAAAATCGGTCATGGCGCTGCGTTGTAGCCCTAGAACGACTTCCAGCATGACGTCTGGAAGGGTTTCCGTTAGTTTGGAAACGATTCCATATTCTTGCCACCACACATTGAGACACCCAAGGTCTGCTGCAACCTGACGTTGAGAGATGCTAGCTTGCAGAAATCCGATGGCCCTATTCATTTCACAGTCATTTAACCGTTGTCTGGTTCGTCTTTGTGACATATTAAAACAAAAACACGCCAAGAATATTTTCTTAACAATTTGAACTTTTGAAAGTGGTGTACACGTGGAAAAGCGAGCACGCGCTTTTATGGTTGACTGAACACACCCACACAGGACGGTTTTGAAGGGTAACATATTCGCCCAAAACAGTACGGAAGGAAAATATAATATCCTTTCTTACATTTTGATGATTTTTGTTTCAAAATATAGGTTATAATGTGAGTAGTACAATGTATATATGAAGAGGAGGGAGATCACACGTGGTCGTCCCTCGGAGCATTTGTATATGTAGAGGAGGGAGATATCACTTGGGCGTCCCACAGGACACTTGTATACATGTAGAGGAGGGAGATCTCACGTGAGCGTCCAACAGGGCACACTTATATATATGTAGAGATGAGAGATCTCACGTGGACGTCCCAGTCCCATAGGACACTTGTACATGTATATATTTAGAGAAGGGAGATTTCACGTGGACGTCCCACAGGGAAAACTTATATATGTAGAGGAGAGAGATCTCACGTGGGGGTCCCACAGGACACTTGTATATGTAGAAGAGGGAGATCTCACGTGGGCGTCCCACAGGACACTTGTATATGTAGAGGAGAGAGATCACACATGGGCGTCCCACAGGACACTTGTATATGTAGAGGAGAGAAATCACATCGGCGTCTCAAAGGACACTTGTATATGTAGAGGATGGAGATATCCTGTGGGCGTCCAACAGGACACACTTACATATGTGAAGGACGGAGATTTCACGTAGGCGTCCCACAGAACACTTGTAAATGTAGAGGAGAGAGATCTTACCTAAACGTCTAACAGGACACACTTGTATATGTAGATGAGATAAATCTTACCTGGGCGTCCCATAGGACACCTGTATATGTAGAGGAAGGAAATCTAACATTGGCGTCCCACAGGACACAATTATATGTGAAGAGGAGGGAGATATCACGTTGGCGTCCACCAGGACACATTTGCATATGAAGAGGAGATCTCATGTGGGCGTCCCACAAGACATACTTGTATGTAGAGGATAGAGAGCTAACCTAGGCGTCACACAGGACACACTTATATATGCAGAGGAGAGAGATTTTACTAGAGCGTCCCATATAACACTTGTTTATGTAGAGGAGGTAAATCTTACGTGGGCGTCCCATAGGACACATTTGTAGAGGAGGGAAAACTTACGTGGGCGTCCCACAGGACACATTTGTAGAGGAGGGAAATCTTACGTGAGCGTCCCACAGGACACATATGTAGAGGAGGGAAATCTTACGTGGGCGTCCCACAGGACATATTTGTAGAGGAGGTAAATCTTACGTGGGCGTCCCACAGGACACATTTGTAGAGGGGGGAAATCTTACGTGAGCGTCCCACAGGACACATATGTAGTGGAGGGAAATCTTACGTGGGCGTCCCACAGGACATATTTGTAGAGGAGGGAAATCTTACTTGGGCGTCCCACAGGATACATTTGTAGAGGAGGGAAATCTTACGTGGGCGTCCCACAGGACATATTTGTAGAGGAGGGAAATCTTACTTGGGCGTCCCACAGGATACATTTGTAGAGGAGGGAAATCTTACGTGGGCGTCCCACAGGACACATTTGAAGAGGAAGGAAATATTACGTGGGCGTCCCACAGGACACATTTGTAGAGGGGGGAAATCTTACGTGAGCGTCCCACAGGACACATATGTAGTGGAGGGAAATCTTACGTGGGCGTCCCACAGGACATATTTGTAGAGGAGGGAAATCTTACTTGGGCGTCCCACAGGACACATTTGTAGAGGAGTGGAAATCTTATGGGCGTCCCATAGGACACATTTGTAGAGGAGGGAAATCTTACGTGGGCGTCCCATATGACACATTTGTAGAGGAGGGAAACCTTACGTGGGCGTCCCACAGGACACATTTGTAGAGGAGGGAAATCTTACGATGGCGTCCCACACGACACATTTGTAGAGGAGGGAAATCTTACGTGGGCGTCCCATAGGACACATTGGAAGAGGAGGGAACTCTTACGTGGGCGTCCCATAGGATACATTTGTAGAGGAGGGAAATCTTACGTGGGCGTCCCACAGGACACATTTGTAGAGGAGGGAAATCTTGCATTGGCGTCCCATAGGACACATTTGAAAAGGAGGGAAATCTTATATGGGCGTCCCACAGGACACATTTGTAGAGGAGGGAAATCTTACCTGGGCGTCCCACAGGACACATTTGTCGAGGAGGGAAATCTTACATGGGCGTCCGTCCCATAGGACACATTTGTCGAGGAGGGAAATCTTACATGGGCGTCCCATAGGACGCATTGGTCGAGGAGGGAAATCTTACATGGGCGTCCCATAGGACACATTTGTAAAGGAGGGAAATTTTATATGGGCGTCCCACAGGACATTTGTAAAGGAGGGAAACATTACATGGGCGTCCCATAGGACCCCTGTACATGTAGAGGAGGAAGAACATGTAATTTCAGACATGGTTGCCACTATTCTGCAACGTAACGTTGTGGGGAGAAATCATGAAACGTAATATGAACGAAAACGTCCATTTTGCCGGTAAATTGTTCTTAATTCTGTGTTCAATTGAGAAATAGATGAATCTTGATGTGCGATTGTCTAAATATGATGTTTCTTTCATTGAGGACAATTGATACGTGTCATAACTCAGACATGTTTTCTTGATTTTAACTGCCCGGTTGCTTTACACAGCTGTGATAGCGACAGACTGGAGGCTGAGTTCTAGTACAGGAGTCAATTAGTACATCCCTAGCTACTGACAGACAGGAAGGCACTCAGGCTGGGATACAAACTCTCTCATCGTAGATAATATCTCATTTCATACACAGGCCGGGATACATTCTCTCTCATCGTAGATAGTATCTCATTTCATTAATACTTTATTAGATTAAGTTTTCATAAAGCTGTGTTTCATTGGCCGACATATTGAAAACTAATTGAAGAACATAATCCGAATAGCTCCTGTCCCGAGTTCCGGAAACTGCTCTGCCACTAAAACATCATTACTGTCATTAATGACAAAATCGTTTCTTTATCGTTCAAATCAAATGATAACTTAAACTGCCACGAACATTTCCCGATATTCAGTAAATCGAAGTATTCATGGGGTCAGTTAAAAACCATTATCGTTCAAAAGTTCGCACGTTTTTAAACTTTCCATTCATTGATATTTAATTTTCAAATATCAATGTGTTCAAAAACGTAATACTACGTTACATAAAAGACTTTCCTCAGTCAAACATACCCTGACAATAGTTGTTCCCTCATACCTGGCTAGCTTCATAGCATTGTTATGGGTCCCAGATGTTTTAAACAGAATTTTAAATAAGTAACGATTTTATCCAATAATGTTGAGAAAGTCCACGTTGACAACAGTCAGTGGACTGGACGTGTTAAAGGGGGATGCTGTTCGAGCTTAATGTTGTCCTATTGAGTGAACATTAATGCGATTCTGACGCGTTACTATATGATATTATATTTGTGTGTATATTAGTAGGTTGAAAACAGCACCTCAACGCGTCCATAAAACCACTCTCATACGGAGCTAATTCCAAGTCGTTTTAATACTACCTTTCATACCCTGACAATAGTTGTTCCCTCACACATGGCTAGCTTTATAGCTTTGTTATGGGTCCCAGGACATTTAACTTATTATGGGTCTCCTCTGTTGGAACTAGCGGTATTTTTTTATTGTGCCGGTTTACATAGTTCGAGTTCGGTGTACACATAGTATATAACTGTGGAATAATGGTTAGACTGGCGTTATAGGACTCCTGGCACACTGGTATGGCACGGGGACCTGATACAGGACTTCCGGCACACTGATATGGCACGGGACCTGATACAGGACTCCTGGCACACTGGTATGGCACGGGGACCTGATACAGGACTCCCGGCACACTGATATGGCACGGGACCTGATACAGGACTCCTGGCACACTGGTATGGCACAGGGACCTGATACAGGACTCCTGGCACACTGGTATGGCACGGGGACCT